CCTAAATCGCACTCCATTTTTGAATTTGTTAATATCCATGTTCAACCAAACTAACATTCAGTATAACACAGTAAAGACAAGACTTTAAAAAAAACTTACTATGATTAAATGTTCTCCTTTTTATGTGATCATTAAATAAATTAATAATGAATTTTAATGTGTGTTGCATGTTTTTAATGTTAATAATTAATATTAATATATATATAATTAATAAAATCCATTAAATTTAAATGGTCTCAAGCACTGCTCATTGAAATTGTGTTTCTGATTGTTGGATAGTTATGGTTGGTTGATTATTGCACACTCTGATTCATAGCATAGATCATATTTGTTTCGCATCAATAGGTTTAACACATTTGTTAGTTTCTGGTTATCCCCTCACACTCATCCCCGCCCTTTATTATTTTCTCACTGTCTTTCTGCAGGTGCGCTACACTCAACTTGTGCTGCAGAAAAAGCGTAAGCCTGGTGGGCGTGCTGGTCGTGGAGTGGGCGGTGCTGGTGTAGCCAGTGGCAGTACTCTTGGTCGCTTGGGGCGAGGTGGATCTCGACGCTCCGGTTATGCGTTTGCGCATCAGGAGGGCTTCGGCGAGCTGATCACATCGGGAAAAAATATGCGCCTGAGCTCGCTGGCTCTCGCCACATTCGCCTCTCGCCACAGCGGCAGTTGGATCGATACCCTTCGCAGGAAAAAACACGCAAACAGCACTGGTGCGCAAAACACCCCACCCACTGGAGAAGACAGCGCCGCCTCCTCTCAAGCTCCACCCCTTTCCACGTCTTCCTCAGCAGCAGGCGAGGCAGAGCAACCATGTAATGAACCCATCCTTCCTCACAGCCCTGATGATATCGCTCTCTGTGTTATTAGGTGTCCAGAAAGAGACGTCGGAGAATGTAGTACAGCAACTGTGCAGGTAAATATACGTCTGAAAACAAGTTCAAGCACAAACTGCAAATCAACATGCACAAATATAGGTTGTTATACAACACTGGACAGAGTGTTGAGGAGCACAAGAAAACGAATTTTGTGGACTAACAAAAAAAGAAAAGAAAATTCCCCCCAAGGAGAAAACGGCAGGAAGCAAAACTATTAAAAACACTTTCATTTCTCACTTTTGTACATAGTAGTGGTCTCAGCTCAGTTCCCCAATAATTAGGAAAACCCTATTGTTCTTTTTTTGTGATGTATACATTAATGTTTCAAAGTTCACAATCAAAAAAATGTATTACTTATATTCAACAACAGCATTACATTCTGTAATCAAAAGTGACATAAAAGACATTTATAAGACATTATTATTTCAACAATGTTATTTTGAACTTTCATTTGTCAAAGAATACTGAAAGAAATGTATCACAGTTTCCATAAAAAGCATTAAGTAGCACAAATCTGTTATCAAAATTGATAATAATAAGAAATATTTCTTGACCAGCAAATCAGCCTATTAGAATGATTTCCGAAGGATCATGTGACACTGAAAACTGAAATAACGGCTACTGAAAATTCAGCTTTGCCATCACAGGAATAAATTACATTTTAAAATATATTAAAATAGAAAACAGTTATTTTAAATTGTTTTAATATTTCACAGTATTCTGTCTTTACTGTATGTTTGTTTAAATGTTTTTTTTTAATGAATTGAGTTATTAACACACAATATACAAATCAATAACTTTATTAATGCAGTGGTTGCGTTTCAACTGTTATGCAAATGTTTAAAATCTGAAAGCTTAGCTGTTTTGGATTTCCCACTTCTTTTTCCCTCTTTACTGATTTGCATGTTTTTCAGTGCCTGTTCTTTGGACATAGATCTCACATAGAGCTAAAATCTAAAAATGTAAAGCATAACTATTGGTTGGGACAGCAGCTGTTGTTGACACACTGTTGAACAGAAAAGGTATAGCTGTGGTTGCAAGGGGGGATTAAGGGCAAACTGAATTTGCTGATTGATTTCTGAAATAGTACACAACGCTATTCAATGCTATGCAAAGTGGCATAATTCCTAAAGTCCATGTTCTCCCCAAAAACGTAACTTTTAAATAACATTTTTGATTAATATATTGGGGAAAAAAAGGGTATTGAAAGCGATCTTTTTCTGTAGAATTTTAGTAATTAGCTTCAGTTAATTTACAATTAATAGTAATGCGATAATCCCGTTTACCTAAAATAAAAAATAAAAAAATCTGTCATCAGTGACTCACCCTCATGTCATTCCAAACTTGTATAACTTTCTTTCTTCTGTTCATTTATGTATTTATTTATTTATTTTTACAATAAAAGTCAATGGTAACCAAAAAAAGAAAGTCATTTTGGGTTTGTAACAACACGAGGGTGAGTAAATGATGACAGAATTTTCATTTTTGTCATTTACTCTAGTGCAGATATTTCTAAGACCTTTCATTCTTTCTTCTAGGAAGCACCGTTTGTGTGGAAGGGAACCGGAGCTCGTATCAGTGGTGCCAGCAGTCCTGGTCCACCTCCCATTGCAGAAGAAACTTCCAGTGGCGAGTGATGGATAGATGGACCAACTGGAATCCTTCATGTGAACACTCGCACCTTCTGACGTGTGCTCATGTTTCTGTCTGAGGACATGGGCAGTGAAGACAGCGTCCCAGACAGTTTGGGAGTAAACACATGCTTGAATTAAAACACATGGAAATGGATGCAGATTCAAACTGTGCATACAGACAGCAAAATACCATACATTTCCTCTATTGTGCTCATTCTCAGATTTCCTGTCGGTGAGAAGGACAAATCTGCTGTTATTTGAGCTGTTTATGACTGAGTTTTCCATTCTAGCCAAGTTATCAGACAACAAACCACTAAAAAACATGGCCAAGGCTGATATTACAACACACCTTACTATCCAAATAGCTGATGTTAATTGTTCTCATATGCTAAATTACAGTTTACGTTAAATCAGATTCATTCATTTTTAATCTGGAGACAAAAAAATCCAAAATGTATACATTAAAGCATTTCTGTCTCATATTTTACTATAAATAAATCAATGCATAACACAATATATTAATACACTGCACATGTAACAGTTGTACAGCTATTAACGATAACTAAATGACCTGAAGTATCAGCCTCAGCTATATCAGGTTTTATGTTTTTGTATTCAAATTGGGTAGTTCTGGATCTTATCTTGGTCATTTGAATCTCAGTCAAGGATTGTCTGTATCTCTATATAGTAAGAGCGGTTTATCTTTTCTTCTGTTTTTTAATCTCTTAATGACTTTCTTGTGGTCTCATACTGTTTTGACCATTTTGTCAGCATATTGTTTTGCTGAGTCAAATACTTCAGCTTTTTGTCTGTTTGTTGCTGAGAGGTTAATAATGCTACTTGAGTTCAAGCAAGTGAACTTTCTTATGTACTGTAGAGAAGGCTAGAGATTTTCTGTTTTTTCCCCACTGCTGAAAATAGCACTAAGATGTATGTGGTTCTGTGATAAAACACTATAGTTCTCAGTGAGAACATGATTCTGCTGGATGAACCCGTTCTTCCTCATCCATTTCTTTGCACCATATTGGTGCACTAACCCTGACTGCTTGACATAAAGTCCAATTCAACCTCAAACTCTGCTTTACTGGACCCTTGAGGGTTTAGGCATTTGCACTGATCCAGTGGACTGTAATAAATGTGTTTGACGTTTTATTTTTTGAAGTTGGATTAAAATGATTAACATCAGAGTTACCAAATGGATTCCACCTTGACATCATGATCTAAATGTGGCCTTCACCAGTGTTTGGATTTAGGTAAATGGGCTAATAAGAATGTAAATACAGTAACGTGTGTGTTATTGTGAATGGGTGAGACAAACCAAGAAAGTTGATAAAGATGTGTGAGAAGTTACTGTGCACCATACTTGTCCTGTTTCCTGTGTAAGTTAGGCCTAGCTCTCATACTGTTAAATAGGTAACAATTATATGCCTTAAAAGCTAACTTTGTGAGTGTGTTTTTTTTTTAATGTGTATCTATTTCCATCCACACATAAAAGCATTTACATATATTGCAGTAAGAGGTTAAAGGTCATTTTATGGATAGTCTGTTTCAGTGGCTGTTAGCCAAATCCACATGATCTGTGAACATCATGACCCTGCTGTTGTAAATGGGCCTAGTGAAAAATAAAAAAATAGATATGATTAAATGATTTGAATCAAGTTAAAAAAACTGATCATGGTTGTGTGTCTAATTATTTTTGAATGATAAATAATTTATAAAGGAATAATTCACCCAAAAATTATAATATTATAGTTGCTCACCATTATGATTTGTGAGAAACAAAAGGAGACATTTTGAAGAATTCTTCTGCTTGCTCTTTTCCATGCAATGAATGGGTACTGAAGATGTCAAACTTTCATAAACACCATTAAAAATGGACCATATGATACTTTTCTCACAAGATGATGCCCAATTTGTAAACGATTCCTTCTTTTGAGTCGGATCTTTTCAATGAATCTATTCATACAGCTCACAAGACACGTTTAAATGATTTACTCACGAATTGAGCTGATCCGGTTCTAGAGTTCAACTCACTGATTCAGTGATCCAGTCGCAGCCATAAAAAGTATAATGAATAACGACCCCAGAAAAGTATGGACTTTTATCACACTTTACGCCGTTTTTTATGAAGCTTTTGAAGCTTGAATTTCTACGTTTGTGTTCCACGGATGACAGACAGTCAACATTAGGGTGGGTAAATGAGACTATTCATTTTGGGAACTATTTCTAATTATTAATAAAATGTATTTATAAAAGCCATTTCTAATCCTATTGCTAGTAGCAGACCTGGTCTATTCTGGCGATCCTCAGAGATACAGCAGGTCTTGGGTCACGTAGTAATGTTTTATAAAGCTGACCGCAAACAGAATTAGTTAGTTCTCGGTCTTTGCCTTGTCAAATAGGAACTTGTTTGTCTTTGTGGTTCATCAGTGGCGCAAGAGCGGATTTGTTAAAGCAACAGATAGTATAATGTGCGGGGGAGGAGAGGAAGGCTGCAGTCTTCTGTCTCTCTCACAAACAAATGAGCTCCGGATCGAAATCTGTTCGCAACTGACAATATTATTATTTTGTCAAACGAATACTTCTTTATCCTAGATCTGTACCATGATTCAAATAATAGTCCTAATGCAACAGTTACATTTAAAAATGTAAGGTTTCTTTTCTTTATTTTATTAATCTTTCTAAAATGTTGATGTGAGGAAAATGTAAATTTTCATCTCGTTAAACTTGCTGAAAGGGTTGACATTATGACCCGTTATACCCATATTGTATATTTTGGTGGCTGATTATTTTTTTTGGAAGTGAAATCTCATTAATAATGTGGACGCGATTTACACTCAAGTTTCTCCTCGGTATATTAGCTGCGATTGAAATTCAGCCTGCCCCAGAAGAGCTGTGTCCTCGACAAGGTAATTAACCATTTCATTTCAAAACACAACCGAGAATTATTCATTTGGATGAATTTGTGTGATTAACCTAAATCAGCTATTCTTGACCTGTATTGTATATGTTGCCTTTAAAACCATAATTATATCTCTTTCATGGTATTGTTTGGATGTAGTCAGAGTGATTCATTGTGGTTAAGAATAGCCCAATATTAATAGAAATTCCTTTAGTATTTTAACAACTTTTATCACGGGACCTTTCTTTGGTACAAGAAAAAGGTCACATTTAAACCGTCTTGGAAACTTTTTTAAGTTTATGAGGTAGTTCATGTTAATGTGAACTACCTCACATTAATTACTTATTTTTTGTTCTGCTTTAATCTTAAAATATGAAGAAAAAAAAACTTATTAAAAATATGAATGATCACGTTTTAAATATTTTGAATCCAAAAAGAGTAAAAAATAATATAAATAATTCCTTAGTCATTGTTTGGAAATGATTGACAGTTTTTTCAAAAATATGAAAACTATATAAACTACCCTAACTACAGTGGGTACAGAAAGTATTCAGACCCCCTTAAATTTTTCACTCTTTGTTATATTGCAGCCATTTGCTAAAATCATTTAAGTTAATTTTTTTTCCTCATTAATGTACACACAGCACCCCATATTGACAGAAAAACACAGAATTGTTGACATTTTTGCAGATTTATTAAAAAAGAAAAACTGAAATATCACAAATGGCTGCAATATAACAAAGAGTGAAAAATTTAAGGGGGTCTGAATACTTTCTGTACCCACTGTATATAAAAATACTATTGTGGCAAAAAAAGTATGAGCATATAAAGATGTGATGTGTGGAGAGAAAATATGAATGTAAATTTCAATTCTGATGAGAATAGTTTTATTTTGCATCATTTGCAATCAAGTTATAATTGCAAAAAGTGTGTATTTAACTTTGTATATTTCAGATACATTAAATGCTAACTATGTTATCAGTCTTATTGCAAAACAACGGAGACCTTTTTAAGTACAAAAATGTTAACATTTAATTCCCACCAAAAAAAATGTTCTCAAACACAATATATCATTTAAGACGTGGTGGAAATGACTGTAACATTCAGAGAGAGAAAAATGACATATATGTCTGTTGGGCATTGTTAGTGGACAAATTAAATAAACTAGTATTTCCTTCCTGAGAGCCAAAAGTGTGCATAAATGAAGTAACACTCACATGTGATACACATAGAAAGTCATCTATGAATATGAGGAGGATTTCCCTGGTAATGTTATAGCAGATGTTTGCGTATGACACATAAAAATGAGGCATAGTGTGGATTTTATAGGCTTTCAATAATACTTTATTGTTTCAAAGTGCCATGAACTTGGAGAAAAAAAAAGTTGACCATTTTCTTTTACATAAAGTGATTCCCTTTTGTCCTTTTATAATCATTGTTGTTGTATTGCTTTTAAATCATGTCCACTGGTTCAGCATACTTACAATGACAGAAAGAACGAGTGATTGTGGGGAAGAATCTGGGGGATTTTAATAAAAGGAAGTGAAAGTGAAAGTACCACTTTGCTGCATAATTTTGTTCCATATTTAACCGACGCAATGAACTGTGGGTATAATGTACTGTAGAGACCAGTATATACGAGACATAAGCAAAAACAAATAAAAACTCAGATTTATGTGATTAATTACCTAAAACTGTTTTGAATCTTCTTCAGAGCCCCTTCCTGGAGTCTTGGTCTTGAAGTTAGGAAGCAATGTTGTGTTTGGCTGCAGAGGCGATATCACTGTGGACGGTGTGCCGTTGGCTTCGGCCAGTGTCATGAATAAAAAATACAGAACCAAGCAGAGAGAAGACATCACTGTCAGCTGGACATCCCAAAAAGGTTATGCTAACGCTACACAGCTAACCAGTATGAAGGGAAATGCTACAACTGGGACATACCAAAAGACTGATTCTGCTATGTATACCAAAGCTAAAGGGGACACAACGGTCACCGTTAAACCACCTGTAACCATAAGAAAGGAACAAACCACTTCTAGACGTGTTTTGCGTGCTGTCACTCAAACTACTGGACAGGAGGAAGAGGTCTTTGGTATCACCATGGGGACAGATTTTGAGCAAGATGATTATGAGGACTATGATTATGAAGAGGAACGGTCCAGGGTGACAAGAGGCATCAAAAAGCGAACACGCTGGACTCTAAATGGACGACAGGTGCATGCTGGAGTGGAAAGGGGAGGGATTTTAAGACGGCCTCATCTCAGCTGGGCAGATGCTGGGAATTACAGCTGCTACAGAGGAGAGAGACTCATTTCCACAGTCAGAATCAGCGTGGGGGGTGAGGACCTTCTTTCACACTCATATTGATAAATGATTTATATATACAAATAGAAGAAATTCACATCCCTGTGCTATTTTCACAGTACCCCCAGAGAGACCCACTGTCTACTGCTACAGGAAGTTTCACACAAGTAAAGTCCGCTGTGATTGGACATCCAAAAATCCAGTAACCCCACGGCCACTGTGTCACCTACTTCTTATTAGAGGGTGAGTGTGTGTATGTGTATGTGTAAGACAGAATTAATTCATTTAGCAGCAATCAGCACTTTACGAATAAATGGTTCACTGACTCATGCCATTGCCAACTGGTATGCTTGTATTTACCTATATTTATATTAAATGTGAATTTAATGTAATAAAATGTATACTAAATATTGGGTACAGAAACCAAAAGAGTATGTATAATGTTAGTTGGTTGACTTCATTTATCAAATAGATAGTCAAACCAAAACCAAACCAGAATATTCAGACACCTTCAACATTTCTCACATTATCACAGTTTATTCGCTATAGTTTAGAAAATGGTAATAAAATATGACAAGAACTCAGAGTTAAACGGAGTCAGAACAAATTCAGCTTGATAATGTTAGATAACTTTGATAGAAAGGTATGTAATAGATTACAATCAACCAAAAATTATTCAGACAGCTGTTAGTATGACAGTATTTACACAACTGTCAATACTTAGTCGGGCAGCCCTTAGCCTTAATGACAGCCTGTAGTCTCCTGGGCAATGCTGTCACCCAGCTTCATGCAAATCTCAACTTCAGTGTTTTTCCCAGACTCGGTCTGAATAATTTTTCTGAAACGTGCTGCGATTTATATTCCAAAGCCACTCATATAATGCAGAAACACTCAAGCAAACAAAACGCGCGACGCGTGCAGGTATTTGTACTGGCGCAGAATGAGAGGACAGTAGCCTAGCGCATTTCACACAGGCTAGATTCACTTTCGCCAGAAAGTCGTGTATGCCTAAGGTTGAAAATAAATGATGTTTATAGTGAATGCCCCTATAAATGGTCTTATTTTTACGATTTAGTTTTAATCCAAATGATGCGTGTGCTGAGTGAACATCAAAGATCACACACTCTCTCTCTCTCTCTCCGTCTCTCTCGCTCTCTCGCTCTCTCTCTCCTACCGTTAAGTAACTTGTGCATTGTTTTACTTACTTTGTTTTTGACGTATCCGACCGAACTACAAACTTTCCAGTGATGTCTGTGAGAAAGGTATATTCACTCGACAAGCTCGCGCATCTGCGCCGCCGCGCGCTCAATCCACTCAGCGTGCTGTATCAACTTGCGCACATCAGCTATACAGGCGTTAATACTGAATGTTTAATGTTATATTCATTGCATACATATACTTCGTAG